AGCTTGAGGACATTAGAGTTTTAGAACTCAATGCTGCAATCTAAGGAGAGGAACTGCAAAAGGAGATGCTAGAACACATCACTCTCCCAGCCAGCATTTACCAGTGCCAACATTGCAAGCCATCCAGAGATGTAATTTATTTGCTGTTAGTGGGTATAAAATTTTTAGAGTTTAGAGTTTTGTTTTTTGGTTTGGTTTAGAAAACCTAAGCATATACCTGAATATATTCTTGTATATTTTTTAATCTGACACTGTTAAGAAAATAATAATATTCTTAATTAAATCTGGATCAATGTAGCATAAAATAAACCGATTTAGTTTTATATTCAAAATAGTAGTTTTAATATATATTTGAAGATATTTAAAACATTTATCCCAAATAGAGACTCAACCACCTTAACAATCTTCTGGCACTTAATAAACAGGAAAACACCCAAAGTTTTGCTTAGCGGATCTCTGCTGGAACGTGCAGAGAAATAATAGCAATGCTGTGAGGTGCCAAGAAACGAGAGCCCGGACGCATGCTTGAGCTTGAGCGATCATACACCTCTCTCTGGGCACAACAGCAGTACAGCAGAGAAACAGAAAAGCTGGTCGCTTAGGAAATTGAGCTCGAGACCACCGCAAGTGTTTTGAGCTAATTGGAAGATCGTAAGGCATTCCAAGGAATGGAAACATCTAAAATGGCGGTGTTGCATGGCTAGAAGAGTGTAATGGACATAAATTTCTTGACAAGGACATAACATCCACAATCACAAAAAGGAAAGGTGTGACCAAAAATGGGACCGCCTGGAACATGGAAGTCTTTAAATTCACCCACCAGTGCCAGTCCGTACCAAGGCTCTTCGTGTACGAATCGCGCATAAGGTTGGAGAGGCAATAGCAACAATGGCAATGCTGTGATTTAAGCAAGGACATTTAACTATTGTTGTGGTCGTGATTCTTAGATTTGCGCAAACAATGACATGTTAACTATATGGTCCCGGACGGTCGAGATGCGAAGGGCGCGACGCGGACACGTGGCGTGACCGTATTCGGCACCCTGTTTAGAACAACTGTGGCTGTTTCTGGTGCCGGCTATGGAGGCCTAGGCTGCCACATTGCGTTTTTTGGCATTACCCCTCTCCTCTCGTCACGCGGCGGACTAGGGTTCCTGGGATCAGCGGTTCCAGGATTTGGATTCGATACATTATTACGGGATTTGCATCCAGGTTTTGGAGCTCCGATTTTAGGGCTTCTCAGGAGCTAGCGATGCGTTTCGGCAGCGCTTGGATCTGCGACATCTAGCTGGGAAAATGCAGGCTGTGGTGATCGTGCTGGGAGGGGGAAAAATTTTGAGCCTCGGGATCAAAACGAAACGCACATGAGATCACTGTGGAATTGTTGCTTTGGAGTGAAGGCGCCTTGTCTTTGCGTGATGGGTGCTATGGAAAGAAATGCTGGATCCACAACTCTCAGCTCAACGCCCTTCGCAGGAGCTGCTTTAGCAGAGGCTTGGCTAGCCATTTAGTAGCCGCGGGTTCTGTTCATGGCTCGAGAGGGAAGGTACGCGGACAGAGGTGGCCCAGCTAGTGGAATGCATCTCTTCGACTTCAATGAAACTCTCTCGGGAAAGAGGCTACCCGATGACAGGAGGATCGCTCTCGGTAAGTAGATCGACTCGTGTTGGTAGCAAAAACCGTGATTTTTTTTTCTGTGTTTCTTTCAGATTACCAAATGGACAAGCTCTACAAGGGAAGAGATTCGCCGAAGTCGAGAGCCAAGCGCGAGGAGGGGGAAGTAAGTACTAGCGTGGTGAAAGAAGTTCTGATTTTTTGGTTGTGGCTAAGTTGTTGTTTTTGCAGACAACTCGGACCAACTCTAGGACGCCTGACAAGAAGATGAACTTCGTGCATGGGGGAAGCGAGTATGTACTCAAGGCTCACAGCGGCAGGGATATGGACTTTCGGCCCCCAAACGTGGTCGCTCGGCTCATGGGTTTGGATACTCTCCCCAACGAATCAGTCCCGGCGAAGCAGGCCAAGAAGAAAGGGGGAGACCAAGTGACTCCAAAGCAGGCAGTGGAGAAACAGTCGAGAAGGCAAAACGAGTTTAAGCAGGCTCCTCCAGTAGCTACAGTGGTACTGCCGGTCCAGGAATCTTACTATGTGGAAGACAAGGCAAAGTTTAATCGTCCTCGGGGTTCGGACAACAAAAAGCGAGGGGCAGCAAGAGAGTTACCAGATGTGTTTGAGATAGAGGAGATGAAGCGGCAGCTAGCTCTCAAACAGATGCTTGTGCGGGAGAAGTTGAACGAAGCGACGCGTTTGCTAACTGGGGAAAAACTCTCAGACAAAAGGTGGCTTGCAGCAAATCAGCAGCTGAATCAGTCCAAGGAGTTTTTAGACGCGATCGACTTCTTCCAGACCAACAGAGATGCTTTCCTGAAGTACGTTGAGGATCAGGACTCGGTTCTCGGTAAACATATCGAAAAAACTCCCGGAGTCGCACACAGAAACGTTGCTATTGACAGGCCAGTACCGGAGGGGCTCAGGAATCCCATTGTCAGGAAAGTTATCGAGGGTAGAAGAGAAGATGCACTCAAAAATTTCTCCAGGCATTCCAACTTGGTTGGAGCTGGCGAAGACATCATAAAGAATTTGGTCCCTGACAACCAAGCTCCGACGAGGATAGTTGTTCTCAAGCCGAGTCCGAACCGAAACGCGAGTCCTACATCGGCCAGCTTTTCTCCAGGACCATATGCAAACAGCGTCCGGGATGAAACTATTCCTTCTAGGAGGGTAACAGAGGCTTGCGATGATATGAGGAGGATTGCGGATACTTCCAGGAATGAAGGCGCTGCCAATCCCAGGGAGATTGCCAAGGAAATCGCTCGTCAAGTCCGGGAAAGCGTGGTGCGAGACTTGGCGAGGAATGCTCTACAAGAACAGGGTGCTGGCAAGAGACTAAACGTGACACTTGATAACTCGGACGGTCCAAGACTCGGCGGTGGAAGTGAATTCTTGAGGGGTGACGGGGTAACAACGCCTACTGGGAGAACTAGTAGGAGACCAAAGCCTCAAGTTGAGGCTGTGGAGGATACAGGCTTCAAGGCTTCGCTTTCTTCGGTACAGAAAAAACCAAGTCGTCCGAGGCAGCAAGCTTCTGGGAGTTCTCCGCCAATGCCACGACCTGTGTCGAAGGGCATCGTTGTTTTGGTGCCTGACCAGTCCGTTAGCAGCCGGATAAGTAAAGTCTCTGAAGCACAGAACAGGGAGATAGTCTCTTCAAGTGGCATAAGCAAACAGGTGGTAAGGAAGGATAGAATTCGAAAGAATCAACAAGTATTGCCCGAGACATCTCACAAGCTTGGCGATTCTTTCCGGAAAGCTAGAAGCCAGCCTTCTGAAGCTAGGAAAAACAACGTAGATCTCACTAACAGGGAGTTTACAAATACTGTACAAGACGATGCGGGTGCTAAGGTAGGGGATTATAGTTTGGATGAGGCCGTTCCCGGTAGCGACTTGCTGGGATATGGGGGAAGCTTTCTTCTGAAAACTTCTGGATTCGAGTCACAGGGGGAAAACGAGGCTTCTCTTGAGTGTAGCGATTCAAGGGACACGTTAGAGTCCGAGTATACAGCAGACATCGGTGTTTCGGAAGCAGTATCCCAGCCAGAGACAGATGTTTCGAGATCGCCTTCGGCGTTTCTTTCGTCAAATAACAGCGTTCCCACAGTTTCTGCCAGTCCGTGCGAAGAAGAAACTGATTATAGCAAGCAGTCGGTTCCTGAAACTTCACATTTGTCTTCGGAAGTTTCAAGCTGGCGTCACAAAGAGGAGGTTAGTCAACATACTATTTCTTGTCTTTTTTTTCTTTCTCGGATTGATGGCAGGGCCAATTGCTGCAGGTTTCGCAAGAAGAGGAGGAGCTCGTTAAAGCCAGTCCGACGACTACAGACGTCGTCGAAGCTGTGGACGTTGACGAGACATCCATAAGCAGCGACAACAGTGGACAACCAAGTCCAATATCCGTTTTGGAGTCCTCTTTTGAGGAGAGTCCTGGTCATGTTGACTTCGATACGATCAGCTCGGAACTGGAAGGTGAGTTCTCCTTTTCTGCTTGAAAGCAAACAAAGACTTCGTTTCTGGCAGAGCTGCGAATTCATCTCCGTCGCTTGAAGTGGGATGACAACGATCAAGAAGGTCTTGAGATTTCGGACGTGGTTGTGGACAAGGTTGTTGTGGAAGAGAAACAACACCCCGAGCTCGAGACAAGTGTAAGCTCGAACGACACTGGCCACCTCCAATGGCTGGAGCTGGAAAAGTGCAAGGAGGAGGACGGCCAGAAGGTCTACGTGAAGAACATCCTTCTCGCGTCAGGCTTGATCAAGAACAGTGGCAGCGGCAGCTTTTTGGTGGAGCAGCACTCTCAGGCGCATGCTCTGGACCCGATGCTGTTCCAGCAGCTGGAAGGATTCTACAGGACCCAAGCCGAGGACGTCTCCACAGCAGAGACGACGAAGATCTCGAGCATGAAACGGCGGCATCTCTTCGACATGGTGGACGAGATCTTGACACACAAGTTCGTGTGTGATCCGTGGCTTTCGACTGTCCGGACTGTTCCTGGCGGAGGACTCCTGGTGGCCGAGGTGTGGTCGAAGCTCTCGGATTACTTCGTGTACCCCCAGGGCGAAGATTTACAGCACACGGTGGAGAATCTGATCGAGAAGTATTTGATGAAGGGTGATCGATGGATGGAGCTCCAAAATTTCGTGGAGGCGATAGGCGTGGAGGTGGAGGCCGAGCTTCTCAACGAGCTCTACGAGGAGTGCTTGGATTTATAGCGACAGTGTTACACACAAAGAGTTTGAATTTAAAATGGCAGCATATTCATGTGAATAATACACTCTGTTTTCTAGGGCTCTTGGCTACGCGGGTTTAGGGCTTTGTGATGCTGAGAAGCTTGTGCTCGAGGCGCGCGATCGCGGCGTGGGCTGTCAAGAGGTTTGTAGCTGCGCCGAGTCATTTGCTACCGAGAACCGGCGCTTGGATCGGGGAAGATGGGAGATTTGAGAGGAACTGCTTCGATAAGGTGGAGATCAACAAGGGATCGAGCTACATTCATGTGGATTCGCTGACCGGAGAGGGAATTTGGCTGCCCGGTCACGATGGCGACGAGATTGAGATCGAAGCGAGCAGCGTGAAGAAGAAGAGAAGAAAGAAGATGAACAAGCACAAGCACAAGAAGCTCCGACGGAGAAATCGCCATAGCAAGAAGAAGAAGTGATAAAAAACCCCCCTTTTCCTCTTTGAGAAAGCAAGCTAGCATTTTTGTTTAGGGCTTTTGCTCTCTTTGATGAGGGTTAGGGCTTGGGAAGTGGAGGCGCTGATCGGCGCAAGGGCAGCGCGGCTCGATCGATTGGTTGATTCATCTCCGCGAAGAAATGCCTCCGAAAGCCGCCGACAAGGGGTCCAAGGAGAAGCAGAAGGCCGATTTGGCGAAGAAGCAGAAGCTCGTGGAGGACAAGACATTTGGGCTCAAGAACAAGAACAAGAGTAAGAATGTCCAGAAGTATGTGGCGAGCCTCCAGCAATCCGTGCAGTCTCGTGTCAAGCGCGAGGAGGATCCCAAAGCTGCTCAGAAGGTCTGGATTTTGTTGGAACGTGGGTTTTTCTCTCTCACCGGGGATTTGTTTTGGGAAATTCGCAGAAAAAGAAGGAAGAGGAAACTCAGCGGGAGAAGGAGCTGAATGAGCTCTTCAAGGTTGCCATCAGCCAGCCGAAAGTTCCAGTTGGTGAGTGTCTGCAAGAAGCTTTTTTCCCCACGCTATTATACGTTAAAACCAGTAGCAGCTGTACTCGATTTCAGGTGTCGATCCAAAGTCAGTCGTTTGCGAGTTTTTCAGGAGGGGACAGTGCGCCAAGGGATTCAAGTGCAAGTACTCTCATGATCTCAATGTGGAGAGAAAGGGAGAGAAGATCGACCTCTACAGTGACCAGCGTGATAACGGTGAGTTGTCTTAGCCCGAGCTTTTCTATTCTGATTTTCCTTTCCGTGCTCGTGAGCAGAGACCATGGAAGAATGGGACCAGGAGACGCTGGAGAAGGTTGTGGAATCCAAAGGGAAAGAGTACATGAACAACAAACCAACTGAGATAGTATGTCTTTGGCTTTTGTTCTGGGATCTTGTAGTAACGTTGCAAACTTTCAGGTGTGCAAGTACTTCCTGGATGCCGTTGAGAAGAAGCAGTATGGCTGGTTCTGGGTGTGTCCCAATGGTGGTAAAGACTGCCATTACCGACATGCGTTGCCACCAGGGTACGTTCTGAAGTCTCAAATGAAGGCGTTGTTGGAGGAGGAAGCTGAGAAACTAAGCATTGAAGAGGAGATCGAAGAACAGGTACTCTTTGGATGAGCTTTTTACGTGCTAAGAGCTCTGTTTCCCTGTTGCAGCGAACAAAGGTTTCGACGACCACCCCTCTAAATGCTACGATCTTCAGCGAATGGAAGAAGAGAAAGGAGCAGGAAAGGGAAGCGATGTTGGCACAGAAGAGGGCTGAACGAGCGAAGAATGACAGAATGAGGTATGGTGTGGTTTTCACTTTTAGAGCGCTAATGCGTTTCTGTTGTTGCAGTGGAAGAGAACTCTTTGCCTCTGACGCAAGCTTGTTTGTCGACGATTTGGAGGCTTGCGACGAGTATGAGAGAGACGAAGGGGAACCCGGAAGTAGCTCCAAAGCTCAGGATGCGAAGGTAACTCCGGCTATGGGAGCTTGTAGATGTCTCAAAGTTTCTGTTTTTCATTGCAGGCAACTGATACCGCCGCAACTGCTGCTGCTGGATCGTCGTCAGCGTCTGTGGATCCAGCCGAGATTGACGAGGACGACGAAGCGATTCCAGACGTTGAGGACGATGATCTGGACGAGGACGAGCTCAACGAGTTGGAAGCTAGGCTAGCTAGTTCGGGCGTAGGTGGCGATACTTAGACAAAGTTCCCGAGATCTTTTATTAAACCCTCGGATGTTTGTTCTCCTGGCAATTGGAAAGCTTTTGAAATTCCAGAGCATCAAAAGGTACAAACTAGAAAGATCACTGCTTATTCCGCCCAAGTTTAGATCAGTGATGACCACCTCCTCCCTATAGAACAGAAAATGTAAAGATTGTTTCAATGTAGCTTCGCTTACTCTGGGTTCCCATTTGTGACGAAATCCCTGAACGAGAGAGAAAAGAGAGAGATCTCAGAGGTGAAAATCTAGTCTCTAGAGAGCTTACCAGCAGCACATCGCCGTCTTCTTTGAATCGATAGAAGATCCAAAACCTGGGGAGCCAAAATAAAATTTTTCCCATAGATCGATCACACTAGAGAGACTCACCACATCACCGCACACATGTAGCGCCCCGTTAGAACTTGCCAGCGCTTAGGGCTTGGGCCATGGATGGGGATGTTCGTGGGAGGCTCCCATGGATACGGAGGGCCCGAGCTCGCCATAGCCAACGCACGGGGAAGAGAATCGAAACGCAGACCTATTTTTTCTAGCCGGTAGATTGGCTGGAATTGAGCCGGCGACCTCGTGTCGCTTAAGGACAGGGCGGCTGGAGTGTCTGTTTACACCGAGGCTTACGCCCAGATACCCTTACCCTTTGTGTACTCTCACACTCTCTCATACTCGCACACACTCACACGCACACAGGGGCGTCACTCGGGCGCTACACTGGCACTGGCGCTTAGGGTTTTGATGCGCGGGGGCAAGGTCTAGGCGCAGCGCGGCATCGGCCAGCGGCATCGATGAGTGTGAGTGGTTTCGTCGCCTATGGCGCGCCAGCAGCTATGATTCTAGCTCTAGGTTTGGTTTGTGCTGTGGCAGCAGCGGCGGCGGCGGCAGAGCTCGTTCCTGGCGGCCAGCCGATTGCGAGAGGGGTTTCCGAGAAGCGATCAGTGGTAAATGCGGTGGGAATGGACTAGAGAGGGGATATGTGTACATGCTTGAGCTCGTTCTTCATGGGAAACTGCTGGAGTGGAACTAGCTTGGTTTCTTCACACGGCAACGCCAGGAATTCTGGTGAGTTTTCCCGAAATTCAAGCGCAAGCTCGGTTTGTTTCGTTTTACCTTTTTCCTTTTTCCCTCTCGCTCGCTTAAAAGCTTTGTGACTTCGAACAGGTCAAGTCGAGCCAGCCACAGAGCCTAGCCAGGCATCCGAGAAGGGGTCCTTGTCCGCCAATGGGTCAGTGAGTGACCCCTCCAATCCAGGTTCCAACGAAGTCAGGCAAGGGGCTCATCTTCGAATTTTTAGCTTCACCGATCTGAGATCCGCCACACGGAACTTCCGACCCGACAGTCTGCTGGGTGAAGGGGGATTTGGAAGTGTTTTCAAGGGATGGATAGATGAGAATGGGACAGGAGCTGTCAAGCCTGGAACAGGACTAGTTGTAGCGGTGAAGCAGCTCAATCCCGAGGGTTTGCAAGGACACAGAGAGTGGCTGGTAAGAACTTGGATGATATTTAACTCCAACAGGAGAAAAAAAATGTTCTTTTGCAGGCAGAGGTGAATTTTCTTGGGCAGCTCCATCACCCGAATCTCGTCCGGTTGATTGGCTACTGCGCCGAGGATGATCAGCGGCTCCTTGTTTACGAGTTCATGCCTCGCGGAAGCCTCGAGAATCATCTGTTTAGACGTAAGCTTGTCAGTTTTCTTTCGTGCTCATCCAACCAGTTCGTGATCTCTTTCTTGTAGGTGCCGCATTGCCGCTTCCGTGGGCCACCAGGATGAAGATCGCGCTCGGGGCTGCAAAGGGTCTAGCGTTTCTTCACGAGGGCGCTTCCAGGCCAGTTATTTATCGAGATTTCAAGACATCCAACATTCTTCTGGACCATGTACGTGTGCTGCCGCTGTGATAGGATTTTCCGGTTTAGTTTACACGACTTATTCTCCAGGAATACACTGCCAAACTGTCGGATTTCGGTTTGGCAAAGGATGGTCCGGAAGGTGACAAAACGCACGTTTCGACGCGCGTAATGGGGACTTATGGCTATGCAGCTCCAGAATACGTAATGACAGGTACTTTTTCTTCTCGTTCTTGCTCGAGTGAAGCTGTCTTTCGTTTCTTCAGCCGTTTCGACGATCTTGCGAGAGTGAGAGCTTGCGACTCATGCCTTTCCGGCTTTGCAGGTCACTTGACACCTAGGAGCGATGTATATAGCTTTGGCGTTGTTTTGCTGGAGATCCTGACGGGGCGACGATCCATGGACAAGAACCGGCCGAGCGGCGAGCACAACCTGGTGGAATGGGCCAGACCGTTCCTGAGCGAGAAGAGGAAGCTGTTCCGGCTCATCGACCCCCGCCTCGAGGGGCACTACTCGATCAAAGGCTTGCAGAAGGCGGCGATGCTGGCGCACCAGTGCATCAGCCGGGACCCCAAGAGCAGGCCGCTGATGAGCGAGGTGGTGGTGGCTCTGGAGCCGCTCCAGAACCCGAAAGACATGGGCAGCTCGTCCTACAACCATCACTCGAGCTCCGCCGCCGCAAACTTTAGATACCACCCGCAGTTCGTGCAGCAAAACGGGAGCCACCACCAGCACAGGAATGGCAACGGCAACGCGAGGCCGGCGCAGATAGCCACGTACCAGCAGCGATCCCCGCGGCCATCCGCGTATGGTAAATGAAAAAAATGGAGAGGGCAAGGAGCGATCCCAGCCAGCATTCTCGCGCTCTCCTTGTTTCTCTTTCATCTCTCGTCCAATATCTTCGCCTCTCTCGCTCGCTCTCTTCCTTCTTTCCCCGTGTTATGGGCCTCTCGACGTAATGTTGTACTTTATTGGAATGGAATGCTATCTAGGCTTTTAGGATGATATTTAGGGTTCGTGGGCCTTTTAGGGTTCTTGGGCTAATAAGTCACAAAGGAGAAGGAGAGGGATTCCAAGCTCTGAGGTAGGCTAGCTCTAGAATCGAGAGAGATTTGTGACACAAATCAATGAGCAGGGCGAGCGCGCTCAACTACTGCGTGAACCAGGTCCGGCGGTATGACTACAAGAACTACCTGTGCTTGCTCCAGCTCCCGCGATCTGGTGGCCTCCGCGATGCGGCCTTCGCGCTGCGCGCATTCAACGTGGAGACGGCCACCGCCAAGGACACCGCCCGCGACCCCAGCCTCGCCACGCTGCGCCTCGCCTGGTGGAAGGACTCCATCGACAAGCTCTTCTCGCGCGCCGCGGCCACGCCCGAGCACCCGGTGCTCTCCATGCTGGATCATGTCAACCGCGAGCGCCGGCTGAGCAAGCACTGGTTCTCGCGGATCATCGACGCCAGGGTCGCCGACGCGGAGCTCTCGGCGCCGCCCAGGGACGTCGGGGAGATCGAGCGCTACGCCGAGAGCACCGCGTCGGCGCTGCTCTACCTCACGCTCGAGGCCGCCGGGGTGAGGAGCACCAAGGCGGATCACGCGGCCTCGCACACGGGCAAGGCCGCGGGGATCTCGCTGCTGCTCGAGGCCACCGCGCACCACAGCTCCAAGCGGGTTTGCTACATCCCGGTGGAGGTGGCGGTGAAGCACGGTGTGTCGCAGGAGGATTTGTATCGGGGGGTGCGCGGGGACGAGGGCGTTGCGCGCGCGGTGTTTGAGGTGGCGTCGGTGGCTCACGCGCATCTGGAGAAGGCTCGGGCGCTGGCCAAGGACGTGCCCAGGGAGGCCTCGCCGGTGATGCTGCCGGCGGTTGCCACGGACGAGTTTCTAGCGACGCTCATGAGGTCGGGCTTTGATCCGTTTGATCCCAGGTTGCGGCGGGGGGTTTGCGGGGTGTCGCCGCTGTGGATGTTGCTCAAGTTGAAGTGGCACTCGCTCAGGGGGTCCTATTGATTCTCTTTTTGCTCTTGGTTTTCGAGAAAACCTTGGTACTTTTCTCTACCATGATTACAAACGTGTGCTCTTGATCGCCGAGCTTTGCTCCACTTTAAGAGTCGAAGTCCTTAGAACTGCGATCCTCATGTCCGCTGGTACCTTGTCGCCAACTCTGAGCTCTACAACGTTGCCAAGGACTAGCTCCCTGGCTGCCAAGTCGGGGATCCAGTGACCAGCGAAGAACTTTGGCGTGCTCTGGTTGCATCTCCTTGAGCACGTCGGCATTGGTCTTTGCCATACAAACTGTGTTTAAATTTCAATTATAAGGAATTCAGTTCGTGCGTCGCTTGCTCATCAGAGCAACAGTAGCTGCCAACAATCGCTTTTGTCATAAAGATAAACTTACTGACACAGCCTAGATAGATATCTGAGAAATACCCACAAAATACAATAAATTTAAGTTAAAGGGAATAGGACCACATATTTAGAAGAAGATAGATTTCCCGGCGCTGGACAAATTTCCTACAGATTTCTTGAGGAGGAAAAAAGCGTTCCAACGTTCCTTTGCGGTCATTTGGGTGGGGACGCTGTCAATGATCTTCGCCGCGCGCGGCGGCGAAATAAAATCCCATATGGTGCGCGAGATCCTGCAAATCTCAGTCAGACTCAAAGGTAGACGTATCATTTATCCTGCACGAAGGACCAACAAATTGGGCTCGTCATCGTTGACGGAGTCAATGGATTTTGCTCTGTTGGACACGGAAATCTGGTCAGTCAAGGAATCCAACTCTTTTGCTCTACTCTTCTTTTAACCTCTTCTCTCGAAATATCCTCGATCGCCGAGATAACAGCAGTCGCTTGTCACAAAGGGAGAAAGAAAAGGGATTTATGATCTAAAAAAAAAGGACAAAAGTATAATTATAATTGATAAAACCAAAATGTTTTATTGTCCAAAACTCTGGACAGGAAACTCATTAACAAAGTTTACCAAATAGCAAATTATTCACGATTGAAACTCCTTGGTTGACCCTTTGAGACTGGCAGCGCCATTCTTGTTGTCCACCTTGATGTCCCTTGTGTTGTCACTGGTACTCTGCCTAATCCATGTAGTGTCATACTGGCGATGTAACTTGCACCGGAAAGATCCCTTGTGGGTCGTGGGCGAACAAATACAAGCAGGCATCCTCTGACAAAAACCTTAAACAAGAATAGGGCTTCTTAATTTAATTCCAGGTATTTATTGACTCTATTCTATACTTTATAAAAATAGCCTGTTTCTAACGTAAACTATAGACTGGATCATCGGCCTGGATGCTTGTCTCCCGACGTCGACGACTGCTGCGGCGGGCTGAGGCAATTGTACTGGATGCAAAATGTGCATGTCGTTGGCAGCGGGTTGATGTTTGGGATGTAGTTGTGCTGGATGGCGTCCACAAACTCCTGCGGTACCACCCTGACCATTGCTGGGATGCCTGTGAAAGACGTGTTGCATGCCTCAGGGACACCAGAACCTGGACCGGCCCCGAGAACTGGTTCTGCTGGAGGAGGAGGTTGCCGTTCCGGAAGCTGAAAATCTCTGGTGAGCCTCAGGTCGAGAAGCGCCGGGCGCTGCAGGGTGGCCATTGTCCCAGTGAGGCAGTTCTTGGCCAGCGATAGATACTCCAGAGTTCCTGGCAGCGAAGGGATCGGCCCCGTGAAGCCGAGGTGGATGAGCGGGGCCAAGAAGAGTGGCAGCAGACCGGACATGGAGTTCAGCGTGTTGAGATTCCACAACAAGGTAATTGCTATATATTCAATAACTGGGTCTTGGAATGGATGTTGCTCAAGTTGAAGTGGTATTCGCTTAGAGGGTAGCAAAGGATTTCCTCGAGGATGAACTTTTCGAAATACCTGGCCATCGTTCTTGCCTCATGCTGTTTGGTCATATCAAACAACAGAGAAGCTGCAAACAGCTTTTACACACTTTCATTTCATATATGGCCTTGAGGCAGTGTTGCTGATTGAGCTGTGCTTGCCAACATAGAGGAAGCTGATCCATCTACATCAATGTCAGTCACTTCCATTACACAACGAGTGAAACAGTTGGTATGTTTGGATGAGGATCAAGACCTTGCAGTGTTGCATATTCAAATATCACAACATTGGGCTGCCTTGGAGCATTCCCATCAATGATGGGAGATGTTCCTCCTTTGAGATTTGTTTGGCAGCTTGATGCAACAACCATGCACTGTGCAAAGTTCCAGCCTCTTTGGATTGATCTCTATATGTATTTCATATTGTAAGTACTAACTCTTATGTATTACTGAATCTGATAAATGCAGCCTTGTAAGACTTTGTCTCCTACTGTGAATGCATCAATGAAGTATTAATTTCAAAATCTAAATTACGCATACCTTGTGATTACAGTCTTCTTCTTCCTTGCAATCAGTCCTGATTAGCCTTTGTTTTGTCAAAACTCATGATTAGCCCTAATATTGCTCTACAATGCTTAGATTTATAATTGCAATCTACACTACATGAAGAACAAGACTTCAAGTTGTGATTTGCTTACCACATTATGTTGTAATGCTGATTTATTTACTCCTCCCTAATTTATGTTACAAAACATCTCAAATTGCTAGGAAAGAAAATGAATACCACACTAAAATAAAATTACACCTCTTCTTTTTCATTATAAAAAGTCCATTTTATGAAATTTGTATCCTCTATGGTCCTTCATATGAAAAACTTCAGTAATGGTTGAAAATCATGGTCTCTTTCCTTTTTGAAGTATTTGCATCTTGATCGTACACACTTCTTGACGCAGATTGGACAAAGAGTATCACACACATACTTAATGCAAATTGGACAAAGAGTACCTCTTTTAGCTTCTTTTTTTTCCTACTGTTTTTTCCTTCATAAAGTTCAACACAATAAACCCCAACTAGAGTATATAAATCTAGAATAATTATTTATATGTAGAGCATATTGAAAGAAAGTAGATCTCACTAGTCTAGAAGCTCAATTCCTTTATATATATATCTCCCACACCCTGGGAAATCATATAAAAGCACTAGTTGTTGGCATCCTTGGGGTTTGTTGTTGTTAAAAAGGAGAAGAAGCCCAATGAAGAAGGTTATGAAGTGGTAAGAAAGTATAATTTTCTTGTAACATTTTTGTTAATTATAAGCTTTATCCATACACTTCAAGAATTACAATAGTAATATGTTAGTTTTCCTCTTGCCAGTATCAAAATAAACATATTCAAATTAACAAGAAAAAAAAAGGAATCTAAATTGGTTATGGACATCCCAAAAAGTAATTCCATTCATTTATAAGTGGGGATTAATAGTGCTAGGATTCCACTGTGCTTTGCTCACTTACATTTTCTACACGCTTTTAAGTGGTCAAGAGTACACAATGACCATGAAAAAATCACACCCAACTTCAACCACTGTGATTTGGTACATGTCAATGCAGACTGAGATCTTTGGAACAAGATCTTTTTGGACATGCAAGGAGTACATATGACGTAGAAGATCATCTGGATCACTTCCAACCAGAATTTGGATATGTAAAAGGTCTTTGGCAAACTTTTCAACAGGGCACAATAAGCCCAAACCTCACAGCCACACTGGATCACCTAATGCCGGAGGATGGGGATGCTGCCAAGGAAGGTCCCGTTTACACTGAGAGCCCACAGCTTTGCAACACCCCATGAACGCCAATAGGAGCACCTGCCAACCTCAAACAACAAGCGAGACTTCGAAAAGGACATCACTCATCCAACATTTGATGCCGGGGAACAAGATGCTTAGAAGACAGTGCTTGCTTCTGAGTCCCTTTATGTCTGTTGTTTTGTGCCTCTGTGAAGCAATTGACAAAAAATGTGATGATCCGTATGAAGCTTTTCACAGGATCATGTTTAGAGCGAGAGAGAGAGAGAGAGAGAGAGAGAGAGAGAGAGAGAGAGAGTCTTTGCCATGACATCCAGCGAAGTAGCAAGAGGAGTGGTCGCGGTGCCTCTTTCAGGCATCTCCACGCTCGGCCATCGCCAAATCGCGACTCTTCTGCGCCAATGTGGTGATTCCAAGTCCCTCCCGCGAGGGAAGCTCTTGCACCGCCGCCTGGCCGCCACCCTCGACCTACGCCACCACCCCTTATTCAGCAATCTCCTCATCCTCATGTATGGCAAGTGCTCCAGCCTCCCGGACGCATGGTCCGTCTTCCACGATCTTGTCCACAAGAACGCCTTCTCCTGGAACATCATGATCTCGGCGCTCTGCGCAAACGGCGAGAGCGCGCGAGCGATTCATCTCTTCCTCGCCCTCGCCAGCGATTCAGTCGTCCGCCCCACCCACGTCTCGTTCGTCGCCGCGCTCGGCGCCTGCGCCAATTGCCGCGATCTCCAGTTGGGCATCCGGATCCACGCCCAGATCGTCGCCGCGCCAACCGCGATCGCGAGCAATCCAGTCGTGTGCTGCGCCCTCGTAACCATGTATGGGAAATGCGGCAGCCTGGCCGACGCGCGGAAGGTCTTCGATGACATGCCGCGCAAGACGATAGTCGCCTGGAGTGCGATGCTGGCTGCTTGCACCAGAAATCCCGATCAGGGCGGGCTTCCCGCTGCGATCGAGCTCTATCGCCAGCTCCGGGATGCCGGCATTGGCGCGGACGAGTACGTTTTCATCAGCGTTCTTGATGCCGCCGCCAAGTTGGGATCCTTGGAGGAGGGCAAAGTGATCCACGGGCACATTCTCGAATCGGGATTTGACGCGCATCCGGATGTCGCTGCTGCGATTGTCAACATGTACGGGAAGCTTGGCCGCTTGGATCTGGCAATGGAAGTGTTTGATAGGATGGAGGAGAAAAAGCTGGCGGCCTGGAACACTGCGATTGCCGCAAATGCCCATAATGGGCAGTTTGGAGCTGCGATTGCGCTGCTGTGGAAGTTGGATCTGGAAGGGATCAGGCCGGATATGGTGACGCTGATTGAGATCCTGGCAGTGTGTTCTTGGAAGCAGGATATAGCACAGGGTATAAAGATCCACGAGCGTATTTGCTCGTGTGGCTGGGAGCGTAATGTTGTCGCTGGAACCTCTATCGTCAACATGTATGGAAAGTGTGGCAGAATCAAGGAAGCAAAGCGTGTTTTTAATCAAATGCACGTACGCGATGTTGTGACTTGGAACGCTATGATCTCTGCGCTTGCCCAGACCGGGCATTGCAGAGAGGCGATCGATCTCTACAAGAAGATGGACGTTCAAAGGAATTCGAGCAGTTTCATGAGCGCCCTCGGTGCTTGTGCATTGCTAGGATCCCTGCAAGATGGCAAACAAATCCATGCCGAGATCATTGCGAGGTTTGCCAGCTTGTCTCATCGATTTCTCGAGACTGGAGTGGGTAATGCGTTGATCAACATGTACGCGAAATGCCAGCAAGCAATCGATGCAAAGAAAGTTTTTGATTCATTAAAAGAGAAAAATGTGATAACTTGGAACGCTACTATTGCAGCATTTACCCAAAACGGGTATTTCACAGAAGCCCTTGACTTGTACGATTGTATGGTTAAGAAAGACTCGTCCGTGCGTCCAGACAATGTGACATACGTGAACGCTCTCCACGCTTGCGCGGGACTGGGATGGATCGTCCAGGGCAGGGATCTTCACTCGCGAATCGTCGCGAGCGAGTGGAGCAGCGACGCAGTGGTGATGAACAGCGTGATGAGCATGTTTGTGCGGTGCGGCAGCCCAGGCGAGGCCAAGCGCGTCTTCCTGGGTCTGAAGAACCGCTCCGCAGTGTCGTGGACGATCGCGATCGCTGCCACTGCGCAGCAAGGGAGCAGCAACGAGGCCGTGGAGCTGTTCTTGGAGATGGTCCAAGAAGGCCTGGCCCCGGATTCCTACGCATTCGCAGGGATTCTCTTCGCATGCAGCCATGGAGGGCTTCTCGACACCGGATGGAGCTGCTTCACATCGATGCGGCAGGATTTTGGCGTGGATCCGGGAGCCGAGCACTACGGGTGCCTGATAGATCTTCTGGGTCGCGCGGGGCGATCGAATCAAGCCAAAGAGCTCCTCCTCGCCATGCCCTTCTCCCCGGATAATATTTCTTGGACGGCTTCCGTGTCTATTAGGTGATCACTGGCTCGAGATTCACGAATGGCGGCAGTGGCGTCTAGGATCGCTGGAGTGAAGGGACTGGCGGATGCTGGGATCGCCATGGTGCCCGGTGAGTACCGCAGGGATTCAGATCCACGGCAGTGCGTGGAGATCGAAGAAATTCCTGTGATCGATTTGTCCGATGTGGAGAAGTGCTCCCCTGCTCGGATATTGGCGATTGACTCCATCCGGAGCGCGTCTAGAGACTGGGGCTTCTTCCAGGTACACGAGATCGCTCACCATTGATTGAAATTCCACTTCGTTCTTGCAGATTATCGGCCATGGATTTCCAGAACAACTCATGGCGAGCATGATGGAGCTCGTCCACGACTTCTTCCGCCTTCCCATCGAGGATAGGTCCGTGTACTACTCCGAGGATAGCTCCTCAAAGTTTCGGATGGGGACGAGTTTCGAGACGCGACGAATGTGGCAAGACTATCTCCACCAGGCGTGCTATCCTCCCTGCGAGATCGCCCAGCTCCCGACTAAGCCTCCATCCTACGTGAGGATCTCGACCGCTTACGCAGAAGCCATGAACCGGTTAGCGAAAAGAGTGCTTGGATTGTTCTCGGAGTCACTGGGACTGGAAAGTGGTGCTCTGGAGGAAGCTTTTGGAGGGGAGAGGCATGTGATGAGGATGAACTACTATCCACCTTGTCCGGAGCCGGAGCTTACAATCGGACTGGACGCTCACTCGGATCCAAACGGTTTCACTATACTCCAGCAGGACACCAGTGTGAACGATGGCCTCCAGATTCTACACTGTGGAGCGTGGGTGCCGATCAAACCTCTGCCTGGCGCCTTTGTTGTCAACATTGGAGATCAACTTCAGGTAAGCTTTCTTCCGATCGTCATCGTCGTGCATGCATGAGATTTCCAGGTTTTGATTGTGTGTTATTCAGATTCTTTCCAATGACGCGTACAAGAGTGTGGAGCACCGAGCAGTTGTCAACTCGGAGCGAACTCGAGTCTCCATTGCTTCATTCTATGGGCCAGCAGAAGATAGTCACATTGCTCCGGTGGCGCAGCTGGTCACTGACGAAGCGCCTGCTTGCTTCAAAGAAAGCGTCTATGGAAATTACCTTCAATCGTTCTACGCTTCAAAACTAGATGGCAAAGCAGCCATTGAGACTGTGAGGTATTAAAGTTTCTCTTTGCAATCTTGAAGTTGGAACTGGTGCGTCTCACATAGGTTATAGTCTTCTCACTCATTTCCATCCCCTCTCTTAGTCATTGGGTTGCGGTTGTTGATGCAATTGCTAATGCAGAGGTCTCAATCTTTCATACAGCCGCCTCGCTTTGTTGATTTGATCCAACATAGAAAAGTGTAGAAGAATTTGCATGTAACGAAACAAATCAAGGAATTCTTCAATGCTTTCTTTCCTTGCGGCATCTCAATATTTATATTGGATCGAATCAACAAAGTAAGGTCGGATATGTCTGAAGTTGTATGAATTCTAGAAAGATTAAGACCTTTGGCAGAGATGCAACTTAATGACAAAAGGAGGGATGGAAATGAGTGAGATGATCCAGCTAAGAAACTCTCAAAAACTCTATGCAGTTACTTTCAACCTCTTCCCTTATGAGTGGAAAAAGTGATCAATTTTTTTTATTATATTTACTTTTTGGCAAAACAAATTCAAAAAATATTATAACGTTTAGTCATTTCAACTACTTTTTCTTTATCATTCTATTATACCTTTTGTCTTAAATCCTTATAGAGTATCTTCGAGTTGTGGGAGCTCCTCCACATACCAATTAAGGCACAGTGAATGAGACAGCAGGCTAGAAAATTTTCTGGTACCTGAGCAAGGCTCCCTTTTGAGCGTACGTGGAGCCATCCATTCTCGTCTTCCAGCAGGAACACACAAATTCGAAAGCAAGACATAAGCTCCAGCTCTCTTTCTGTCACCTCCAAGGACCTGTCGTGCAGCCATGGTGGCTAATTCCAAGTTTGTGTTCGAAGAACACAGAAGTGCCATCCATGCAACAGCGTCAGGCTCGTAAGGCATACTCTCAATCAAATCGACTGCCATGTCTACTTGTCCAATCCTAGCCAGAAGCTCAACCATGCAGATGTAGTGCGAAGGCCGTGGCACGATCCCAAAGTCTGGATGCAGCCGCGAGAAGAAATCTAACCCCGAAACCAGCATGCCCGAGTGGCTACATGCAAAGATGGCGTTCACGAAGGTGATGTCGTTCATGTCAACGCCTTGGAGAGTCATCTCCCAGAAGAGCTGAATCGCTGAAGAGCTCAGTCCGTGCTCGGCCAGTGCGATCGCCTGCGAGTTCCAGCGAGAAGGACACCGGTTTAAGCTGGAGGAGAGGTCATCGAAAACGAGCTTGGCTGTCTCGAGTCTGCCGGATCGATCATACATGCTGATGACGGCGGTGGAAACGAGTTCGTCGTTTCGGAGTTGAGGAGAATCGAGGATCCAGCCGTGAAGAGCATCGCCTTCCGACGCATTTCCGAGGTTCCCGCAAGCTTCTAGCGCTGCAACGAAGGTGATTCCATCGGGTTTCAGGCCCTCAGCGAGAACCATGCGAAAGATCTCGAGAGCTCTTGAGCTATGGCCGTTTCGAGCATAAGCAGCGACCATCGCAGTCCATGAAACAATGTCGCGTTTCTTCATGGAGTTAAAGACAGTCAGTGCGTCTTCAAGGCTTCCACACTTACCATACATGTCCACCAGCGCATTCTCTACGAAGATGTTCTTCTCAACTCCAAGCTCAGTGGCTTTGTCGTGGATTGCTCTGCCATTTTCCAGGCACGACAGATTGGAGCAAGCGTCGAGAGCCAAGACGAGAGTGATCTCGTTCGGCACCAGTTTATCACACAGCATTTCCTCGTAGACTTGCAGAGCAAGAAACATATGCCCGCTTTGGGCATAAGCCGACATCACCGCATTCCACGACACCAAAGTTTTCTTCCCTTTCAATCCATCGAAAACCCGCCTTGCTTCTGAGCACTCCTTGGAGCTGGTGTACATGTGAATCACTGCGTTCATCACGACTACATCAAGATCCAGTCCAGTAGCACAGATTCGAGCATGAATAGCCCTGCCTGTAAACAAGCTCTCTGATGATCCTTCCAAGGCACAAGAATCAAGAAGAGCAAGAATTGTCACCGCATCCGGCTTTATACCGTCTTGTTCCATCGCCCAGAAGAGCCTCAAAGCTTCACCAAAATGCCCATTCCGGGCATAAGCTGTTATCACGGCTGTCCAAGAGACGACGTCTCTAAAGCCAGCAATTTCCTGAAAAACAACTCGAGCTTCGTCAGGCCTGTGAAGGCATCCGTACATTGTGATCACCGAATTTCTCACAAAAGAAGTCATCAATCCTTCCCGTATCAGTCGCTCACGAACTCTCCCGGCTTCCTGTAGAATTAGACTGTTTTTCTTTTTCTTGTCATTTGAGCACGCCTCTACCACAGCCAAGAAGACGACGCTGTCGGGCTTGATCCCTTCGCAGTCAAGCCCGTGGAAGAGCTCCAACGCCGTTTCAAAATGCCCGTTGTTGGCATATGCAGAAATAACGGCAGTCCACGAGTAGAGATTCTTGTTGTTGATCCAGTCGAAAACCCTGCGAGCTTCCTCGAGACAGCCACATTTTCCATACATGTTAATGAGATGGTTGGCAAGAAAGTTTCCCAGTTGGCCTCGCTCCAAGAGCAAGGCATGAACACGGCGGCCTTCGGCAATGGATTTCGAAGCCCCACATCGCTGCAACTCTGCAGCATACAAGAGATCGTTGTTCTTGGCCTTGTCCAAGACCGCCAGGAAATCTAGCGTGACCATCCATTCATGGGAAAGTTTAAGTTCGATCTGGAGAAAGAGGTACGCAATTATCGATTTGACTTGTTCAAGCAATCGTACGAGAAAATGGTACGTCCTCGACAAGTTCTCCGACCTATGAACTAGGAACTTCGAACTACAGTTTCGCCAACGAAAATCTGTGAATCTCTCTGTTTCTAACGAGATAAAACTCCGGGGAGCGCCATTCATCCAAACTTCTCGAGGAAAAGAGTGATCGCGGGCGCTCCTCATAATCATTGTTCTTCCACCTGGATCCTAAGCTACAACTCATCGTGCCGTGTTGCTGTTTGCACCTCAGTGTCCACAGCCCTCGTCTCCGTCCGATTTGTTTCGTCCATTTCTCCGGGTGGAGGTTGAGTCGGATCCGGAACGTCCGAGTTTTTGTGCTTGCCTTCGTTCTGGGGCCCCATCTTTACACAAGAAAATGCTTTAGACTGGGTAACTGAAACGAGATACTAGTCCACCTGAGAAAGCAGTGCATAGAGAGGAAGCGTTGTGTAGCTGCACTGAATTAAGATCAAAATGCTGCAGCGGCGTTTATGGAAATCTAAGAAGCTGTGGAAATATATTTCAAACCTTACCCGGAAGATACGTGCAAAATTGCTGTCGTCTTGTTGTCAATAAGGCACGAGTGCCATCCGAATGTGGCCTGTGAAAAGACAAAGCTTTAGCTCATTCAAACATAACATGTTGAGAGAAAGTTGGGTACGTACCCACATCCAAAACAGAAGAGCTAGCTCAAACGCATTCTATCCAGAGAAGAACCACAAATTCTAGTAAACAGGACACATGCGAAATTAACAAGCTTACCTGAAAGATCGAGAAGTGAAGCAAGTGCAAAAGTATTCTAGGCGTGCCAAACCAAAAAAACTTATCTCGAACTTGCACAGGCTCACCAGGTGCCTTCAAAATATCCACAGCTAGTGTCCCGAGGATGTACTGAAGCTTTGCGCCTAGCAAAATGAGGACCTGGTGTGCGTGAACTTGTGGTGGGCTTACTGGAAATGACTAGTTTATCGCACTTACAAGAATGGGGACGAATGAAATCCAGAAATACGTATGCCAGCCTGAGCAAGTGAGTCAAAGTTAAAATCATCGCAAAAAGATAAAGAAATACCATGAACATTGAGCAAGAAGAACACAATGACGTACACCCAAAAGTATTCGCTGCAAGTCATTGGTTAGCTCAAGAAGAAAAATCTGAACCAAGCTCACCTCATCCCGATGACAGTTTTAAAATCTTGTGCAATTGCTGCCTTCAAAAACGCATGGAAGTCAAAACTGTTGTTTTTTGAATGATTCTGTTGTAAGAAATTGAGACCAGATATTTAGTGCGATGTTTCAAGTAGGCCAAATCTCCCACTCACAATGATAAACGTGTGTCGAAGAGTGTAGTAATCTTCTTTGGTGACTGACCAGCCAAATTGTTGCAGAAGCGTCACCTTGTAGAAACGAAACGGTTAGAAATGCAACAAAGAACACAGAAAACGCTAACCAGAATTCCTATGACAAAGGAAGAGTTCCGGACATGCCTGCGAATAAATTTTGTTTCGCGATTAGCAGGCATCGTCTGTACGTCTGTCAAAACACTCCACAAATGACATCACCGAAGAAAAAAAGTAGGTGATAATACCGTCAGCTTGAGTGTCAGCTTCCCATTTTTCCCAGGCATGGATCTGAAAACACAAGTTAATGGTAGAACAACTTCCACCACCAAAGACAACCTTTCTTCCTCCGAGGTAAACAGTTGCAAGACTATAAGAAATATGCACCACCGCGAGAATGAAGATGAACATATGAAGATCATGGATGTCGGTGCCACTGAGAATTGGCATTTTTCCCTGAAAAAATGCAAGGAAATCAAAGAATGTTAACACTGCGATGCCTGGAACTCCTACCTTGTCAATACACTTGGTGCTATTTCCTGTATCGGAAGCTAAATCCCGTCGAAACACGAGCAGCCTGCGATTGTAGCTTTTGGTCGGGGCCACAGTAAAGTTTGATGACTTGCAGGGTAGCATTGTCTGGATCAGGCTTCGAGGAACACATATCTCTGTTGTAAAGGTTTGCGAAACCGCGAGGAGCAGCGATATGAATCCCAGGAGCATCAACTCTGACAACAAAATCGTCTGATGCATAAAACAAAAAGCATCAAAATCACCTTCTTTGATGTTTTCCAGAGCAGCTTTAACTGGAGGATTGCTTTTCCGGCCTTTAAACCACTGCAGGAACAACACCGGGGATAAAAAAGAAGAACTCTCTCGAGCAACAACCTCTCACCAGTCCAGTGTAATGGATTCCACGTTGAGCAGCCATTGAAACCAGGACAATCACGCTGACAATGGACGCAGTGGCCCATGTTGGTGTGACTTCCAGTGTCGAATCAACCGCCCCTCCACCCGCCATCTCTTCTCAGCCTAGAAGAGGACCACACTGTCAGTAAAATACAATCAACCTTGCGAGAGAATATATACCTCGGCCAACTCCTCAGCGTGAGGAGTCTTTCACTCTTTCCAATGTCGTCTTCTAGACCACACTGTTTCCAAGTGAGCACCTATGAATAAAACGTCAAAACAGTAAGAAGCACTTCATGAACTCCCAATGCAAACGAGGCAGTCCTGGTCAGGCAAAACGACTGGATCACATAGAAACTGGCGAAGATACTCCAGATTTTCTATACAGTAGTGAAAAAAGGTTCTTTTTCGAGAACGTGTCAACTCTTCTACTTGTCGTATACATCGTCTAGAATAATCCTGTAGTTGAACAGCAATAACGTGAGGAAAGTATGGAAGCAGGAGGAAAAGAGTACCTTGCAGTGCTGTTTTCGTCTCTTCAATTCGAGGAGCACTCGAATGGCGTCATTTCGTCATCATCATCATCGTAAGGAGACAACTCGTCGAACAGGCGCTTCCGAAGCTTCTGCCTGCCGAACTCGGAACTCCACTTATTGCTCACCGCGTCCTTGAACCTCGAGCTGAGCAGAAACGGCGAGTTGCAGCAAGCTATCCCGCCAGCCTTCAGCGCCGACACTTTGCCGAGGTCCAGCATGCTCTCGAACGCCTGCTTGAGCCCCTCGGACGTCTGCGGGTTCTTCTTCATGTAGGCCTTGATAAGATCGTAGAGCTGGTCGTGACTCTCGCAAGCCTTGGACGCAAACTCGGCCATGGCGTGAAAGAAGAACCAGGAGATGGCCGGGGGGTTCTCCTCCAGCGTCGACGTAACATAGTGGCCGGAGCTCTCCAATCTTGCTGCGAACGGGAAAACCGGTCTCCGACGTTGGAAAGAAAGGCTGGACCCATTCCGCCAGAGCTTCTGGCGTGAGGCAGCCGATGTCCAGAGGCCCCACGAGCGTCAAGACTGTGTCAAAGTTGGACCTTGCGTACCTCCCCGGATTCAAGACGTAGCAAGTGTGTGCGACCATGGCCAAGTAGATCACCGCGGGTGCCTGTCCAGTGCCGCTCCGCAAGAAGGAGCCAGGAGCTCTGCGGTAAGCTCCTGTAGCGCACTGGAGGTAATCCAGCACGAACTCGCAGACGCTAATGATGTTGGCTCCAACCTTGTCCGAGGGAGGAGAGCCAGCCTTGAAGTAGCAAACCAAGTCCATGAGATAGGCCATCATGTTCTGGGAGAGCTCCGCCGCCGGGACGAGCACCCGGACGTCCTTGAGAATGGAGAGCAACTGTTCGACGTGCCCCGCCTTGAGCTTCACCAAGTTCCTGAGAACCGCTCCCATCACCAGATGAGAGCCGACGAGCAAGAGGAACCTTTTCTTACACTCGGCCAGCCTCCTGTCGCTCGGGTGGACGTCGGTAATGGAGCCGAGCTTGGCAGCCTTGCACAGGAGATGGAGGCACGACCGCCAAGAGTGCTGGACGCGGGAGTCCCAGACCGACTTGCATCTCGCCTGGAGGCTCACTCCATCGGGCTTGCGAGGAGTGGTGCCAAGAAAGTCGGCGGCTTGCCAGACATCGAGGACGGTGGCGTCGGTCACGGTGAAGTCCTGGCCGTAGAGGAACCTCCGGACGAGCTCGAAGACGTGGGGGCCTCCAGGGATGGATGAAAGCCGGATGGTCTTGACTCCCGAGGCGGATGGGTTATAGGCCGAGCGGAAGAACTCGCTCGACGCCGCAAGGATGCTCCCGTGACACCAGAAGTTGCGAGTTCCGACAACGATTTCTACATCGCACAGCTCGTTCAACTTTGCCTGGCAGTCCTTCCACAGGAGCTCCGGAAAGTCGGCCTCGCACCTCAGGGGCTGTGACATCTTTCTTCTGGCTTTCGCGTTCTTGCTGTACACAAGAGAAGACCTTGCATTAGCAAGCACTGGAAAGAGAGAAAAAGCTCTCACCTCAGCCAAGACGATGGATCGCTCGAAGAAGTTGACAAGCTTAACAAGATTTTAGCACATAATTCCCTCCATTTTTTCTCACTTTGGCGGGAACAAATCTTTCTTTACACGACTCCACGCGAGTTATAAATGAGAGTCGGCTGCTGCTGCTCCTGCAGCCGAGATTTAGGGAAAAAAAGGAAAAGAGTTTTTACAGTTCGTTACTCGGACGGACAGCACGGACCATACGAAGCATCGTCAGTCATCAAGAACCATAACTAATATACCGTGCCTGTCTTCCGTACCAAAAGTTTCCCAATGGAATCACGAAGCTCGTCATCTGTGGGAAATCTTTTTGTCTGAAGCTTGGAAAACACCTGCGTATGAGGAAAAAAAAACTTTTAGTCATCCACCTATACGTGAGAAAAAGGTGTTTTTGGAGTGTCCTACCAGATCACCATCGTAGTAAACTTCGAAAGCTCCCGTGCCCAGGAGTGCGTTCTGTAGGAAGTTCCCAATCAGCCAGCAGCTGGCCACCGCTCCGAATTTGTTCTGGCGGAACGTGTTGTACCACGCGGGCGGGGCAGCGTAGCCGAGCATTGGAAAGATTTGCTCTCCAGCCAAAGCAACGCCGATGCCTCCAAACTGGATCGCTGGAACGATCTTGCTGAGCATGCGCTTGTGGAATGGCGGAGGATAGTTCGACAGCACAACGACGGTGCCAGGCACGAGAGTCTCGAGCATAGTTTTCGTCTGCATCGCTTGGTTCCTTACAAACACCACGAATGCATCAGAATTTTCTACTCAAGTTCTTGCGAGGTTTGCTTACTTGAACGAACACGACGTGCAAAACGAGATGTGAAATTTTCCACCGTAACTGGCCGCGTCCTTGGCTCCAGGTACGTAGGGCGGCTGCAACAAAAAATCGAAGATCAAAATTGGAAAGACGAAACATGAATCTCTGTGAAGATTGTCCGTGAAAAATGCGGCACAGTGTCCATAGACAACGTAGAATTAAGAACACAAATCTAGGAAAAATTACCTGGACGACTTGTTCCTGTGGAGGCTGCCGATCGCTGTGGTGGTGATGCTTAGCAGGGAGAGAACGAACAGCAGTCCAGACATCGCACGCCATGAGCAGCAGCGGGAGGAGTAGAATCGCCTGCTGGAGACGCTCGCTCGCCATAGCTAAAAAGAATATTTAGGGCAAACGAGTCGAGCCAAGAACCCTAAAACCCCAGGATGATCATTCCAGTGCGCTGCTTCACTTGCGGCAAGGTAGGATATCTTTGCTATGCTCTCTGGCCGTGCGCTAAGCTCGCTAGTTCCAGGTGATCGGCAACAAATGGGACACCTACTTGGATCTTCTCCAGGCCGATTACCCAGAGAGGTATTTGAGAACTTCCAAGCTTCTTCTCTTCTTCTTTCTGAGAAAAATGGAAATTGACAGTGAAGCGCTCGATGCTTTGGGACTTGTGCGCTACTGCTGCCGGCGAATGCTCATGACTCACGTCGATCTCATCGAAAAGCTGCTCAACTACAACAGTGCGTGATTCCCTCTCTTTTTCTTTTGTTTCTTTGACTCACACACGCCTTTCTCCAGCTCTGGAGCGCAACGAAAACAATCAGTGAAGCTTCTGTGAGTCTTGTGACATAGCTAGCCTATACAAACTTTGCAAAGAAACTCTTCGATTATTGTAGAATCTCAATGAATTGAGAGAGCTTATTGAGATCTTTCTCTCGCTCGATCACTCTCACAAGGACCCAAGAACAACCATCTGCTGGTTTATGGCGTGGTACCTCCACACCTCCTTGTTCACAAAATCAGCATCCAAAAACTTCGCGACGAACTCCCACACTCTATAAACATCCTCGAAGCTGCTCACGTAGCTCAAAGCGATGGTCACCACCAGAAACTCTTGCTGGCTCTCCGGCGAAGAACTCTGGGACGAACCGAATGCGTTGCTCTTCCTGGGAGATATGTTCTGGAAGTCCGGCACCAAGTCCACAAACTTCACGTTCTTGATCTGCGCAAGTCCCAGCGATATGCTGTTTCGATCCGCGAGCCGCTGGACGAGCGTCGGCTGGAAGAGAAGCCCATCCCAGTCGTAGAGATTGAAAGCCATGGACGCACCTCGATCGTATTTCCTCCCGCTGGGGCCGTAAATCTGGACCAGCGGTGCCTTGAATCCATGCGACGACGAGGCCGGATGGCGGAGCTTCGCCAGAGAGAGCAGCAGCCAGCTGATGAGATACCTCAGCCTGTTCTTGATGTTTATCATTCCCAGCACCTTTGTCTGGTCCAGCGCCTTGCAAACCACCCGGAGCTCATCTTCTTCCGCCAAATCCAAAGACCCTCCATCCGAAACCTCGGGATCATGCAGAAGCTCGACGAGCCTCTTAACTTTAGCTGGCGGTGCTGGCGGTGGTGGTGATGGAGGAAGCGATGGTCTCTTCTCAGGGGCGGGAAGAGATAGAAGTTCGATCAGAGTTTTCGGTGGTGGTGGTGGTGGGGGCGGGCTTGTTTCGACGAAGATCTCGGGTAGATTCCTGCGAAGCTGAGACGAACTCTCCCCATGTCCTGTGCTCCTGCTGCTTTCGGGCCCGCCTGTTTCGCTTCTCCAGCGAGAACTCTCCGCCTCCTCAAACACCTCCTCCATCTTGCGCTTCCCTCTGATGTCAATCAGCTGACTTGTTTGCTGCGGCGAAGATTCACTCGAAGAATGTGGACTACTGTGCTGTTTGAACGCCGGGGATCCTCTCGAAGACTGCGCACTCCGTGGACTACTGTGCGTCGACGTATCATCCATCTCCGACTTCTTGTCGTCAACTTCTTCGCTTGGACGTGGACGCCGCACCATGATTTCTTCCACCTGTTCCTTGTTACGCGAAGCTTCACGCTTCCCCGGAGCTGAAGCGCACGTCTCTTGCGTGGCACGATGATGGTCAGCATGATTGTCGGCCAAACTTGACGAGATCTCTCCCGAGGCCGCTCGAATCTCCTCCGCTGATAGAGGCCCCGAGAACGAGCTGACGTTGCTGGGATCCACGTCCCGCTCCAAGCCCGGGGGGAACTCGGGCCTCTCTTCTTCTCCCAGCTGCGACGACGGGCAAGACAAGAGCTTCACCATCCCCACTGATCTCGCTCTCGTCGTGTTGTGCAAGCACTTAATGGCCGACCTCTTGATGAACAGGCACCCGAATCCCGAGGGGTCGGCTCCAAACACCTTGTAGAAGGAGCTGACGATGAAGTCGGGCCTAAACACCGACAAGCCCAGCGCATCCATATCCCGGGGACCGAGAGCCGAGGCATCGAGCAAAACCTGCCAGTGGTTCTCCTGCGCGAAAGGAATCCACTGGTACGAGTACCTCGCGCCAGTCACTCGGCTCTGGAGTGGAAAAACAAACAGCCCTTTGACGGTTCTCCTCCCGGACACCTTCTTCTCCACGAGCTGCTTCCGCAACTCCCTGGAGCAAATCCTCAGCGATGGCCACCGGAATCTCACCGACGACACCTTGGCACCTTTCTCCCTCGCGCAGCCGATCATCCACTCGATGCTCTGGCTATGGTGGTCGTAAGACGTGAGCAGGCACTGGTGGAGATCGAAGCGATACGATTCTGCCAAGAGCTTGACGGCGCTGCCTTTGCTGGCCGTGAACACCATGCAGTAGTCGGTGTCGCTGATCCGAAAGTGATCCATGATCTTGCGGCGGACATGGCTCTCGAGGCTGGATGATCCAGTGGAAGATCCGTAGAGCGCGTGCGTCGGGAGATTGGCAGAGACGTATGCGAGACGGAAGGACGAAGATGGCGAGTTGCAAACTCTCTGGAGGTGCGAGAAGAGGCCAAATCCCGAGTAGTCGCAGCACACCCGGTGGCGGAGATGGGCGTACTCGCGAGCGCGCATATCGTCCACGGCTAGAGTCTCCGCAAACCTGGGGAACATCCGAAGGAAATCCACGTACGCCGCCTCCAGCGGTGGCAGCCTCTCTGGGTCACAGATAACCACGCCCAATTCTTCCCGTCCCACGATTGCCTGGACGAATTCCTTCCTCGCATTCGCGCGAAGATTGGAATGCCGCTCCTGGGAGGAAGGATTCTTGCCGGCGCCGGGCGAATTCTTCTTCCACATGCTCCCATCGTGTTCTTCCAGTGGGAGGACGAGCACGAACCGGCGGAGGGATTCGAGACAACTGCTCCAATTCGCGATGGCCCGCCCATCCGATGAGCTCACCATGCGGATCTAGGCGAGCAGCATCGCCAGCGCCCGCGTGCCACTGCTGCATTTCGTTTTGTCCCCAAATTATTCCGCAAATCGGAGTTGACTGGCCTCGCCTGGCCTCCAATTCCCATAATCTCACATCTTACCCGCCGGCTCGAAAGGAACAAGCGCCAATTCAACCTCTTTTGTCGCCGTCCACAGTGCGCTCCGCGTGGACCACCACTCTCAAGAACCCTATTTTGCTAGTTTAAAATTGACACTCAAGAACCCTAAAGCTATTGCTCGGTTAAGTATAAACATGATTACACTTAGATAACTACAGTTTGATTGATTGGCTCGATCCTGTACAAAGGAATTGACTCTATTAATTCCAGCGCTTGGAATTCTTTGACAACTTTCCTTTGGAGTTTTTCTGCTGGTACGATTGGGCCTTTTGTTTCTTCTGGAGTTCTTTCTCAGCCTGGAACAACGAACAAGAGAAGTTTTAGACGAAAGCTTTGAATCGTTCTTAGTCGTCCTAATGTGTTTTAGTTTGATTTTAAGTAAAGAGTCAAGGTACCTTGGACATCTTGGACTTGGCTTTCACTAACGGGGCCTTGCCTTCCAGCTCTTGCTCCCTCTCGAGCTCCTTTCTCCGTGCCTCCAAGTTCTTTTCGAGATAGTACTGCCAAAGAAGAGCAGTGTGTGAGGAGCAATGCGAGAATTAGAGATGCTTACGTTGTAGTCTCCGTTGTAGTCTTCCAGTCGTCCGTTCTTCACTTCCACGACTCTGTTGACAATCTGCCGCACAAAGTAGCGATCGTGCGAGACGACGAGAACCGTGCCGTGGTATTCTCTCAGAGCCTCCTGCGAGTTGGAAAACCATCAGCTCGTTACTGCCGGTCCTCAAGGCACGATTAGCTTTCATACCTCCAGCATTTCTTTCGTAGGGATGTCAAGGTGGTTTGTAGGCTCGTCCAGTACGAGCAAAGTCGAAGGCTTGACCATGAATTTGCAAAATGCCAACCGAGCCTGTCAAGGAAGTATTAATGGCGGAACAAACTGGTAAAAAGCACTTGTCACCTTTTCGCCTCCACTCAAAAAGGCCGCTTTCCTGGGAAACATCTCAGCCTTGAAGTTGCACTTTCCAAGCAGGCCTTTGATGTCGTCGAGCCTCCAGTCCTCGGCTACTTCTTCCACTGTTTCCAAGACCGTTTTGTTAAGATCCAATGCCTCAGCCTGGCATCACTAACAGTGAGAAGCCATTTCTTCGCTGGGAGAAGAACCAAAGAACCTGATTCTGCTCAAAGTAGTTGGGTACAACTCGATGCTCGCCGAGAGTTATATCTCCACGGGTTGGTTTCTCATAACCCAGAATCAGGCGCAGTAAGGTGCTCTTGCCACAACCATTTGGACCTATAATTGCCAGTTTCTCGCCTCTTTCCACATTCATGTTTGCCTTTTTGAACAAAACCTGCACACAAAGCGAGACTGATGAGCACGGGATGATACAAATAAAAAAGAAAGCTAACCTTTTCCCCGTACTGGAGGGTGAGATCTTTTACACTAGCAACCATGCGACCACTCCGTCCAGCTTCAGGAAAACGAAACCTTATCGACTTGTGCTCAAAAGGCTTTTCCACAAGATCCTTCTCTTGAATCTTTTCAAGTTGCTGCAAAAGAAATAAAAACGCGGGTTACTTGAGACCATCGAGAAAGGACGTCAAAATGTACCCGTTTAGCTGATGTTGCCTGTCCACTGTTAGCACTGCTAACATTTTCCTTGGCTTGAGCTATTTCCTTTTGCTGCTTTCTCCACTTCATCTCCTGTTCTGCAGCCCACGTCGTTCTGGCCTGCACGTAGTTACTGTAGTTTCCTTCGTATGTTCTCGACACTCCCATGTCCGTCTCTACAATTTTCGTACACAGCTGATCCAGGAAAGCTCGGTCGTGAGAGACAACCACCATGGGCACCTCGATCTTTTTCAAATAGCCTTCAAGCCACTCAATTGTGTCCATGTCCAAATGATTCGTCGGCTCGTCCAGAAGTAAGAGATCAGGTTCCTGGAAGTTGAACTTGTCTTGAGGAACAGAAAGGAGAAAAGAACACTTGAAAGCATACCTGGAGTAAGATCTTACCCAGTGACATACGCATTTGCCACCCTCCACTGTACGATGCCACCAAGCGATCATTATCATCTTGCGAGAATCCCAGCTCCGGCATAACTTTGTTCACTTTCACGTCGACGTCGTAGAGATCAGTCGCCTCGGCCTTCTTTTGGAGCTTGTCTAGTTCGTCCAGCAACTTCCCCATCAACGCCATGTCCTCGGTGGCGGTCTCGAGAGCCTTTTGGACTTGCTCAATCCTCCTCGATATCTCCATTTGCTCCTTGAAAGCGCTGAGGAACTCCTCCCTCAAAGTTCTGGTCGGAACCACCTCAAACTCCTGCGTGAGAAACGCGATCTTCATGTTCGGCTTGGCCTTAAGCACAGTCCCAGAATCTGGCTGTTCTTCCCCTGATATAATCTTCAATTGCGTAGTTTTTCCAGCTCCATTGATTCCAACCAGCCCAACTTTCTCTCCTTTCTTCACCTCCCAGTTGATATCTCTGAGTAGAGCAGTGCCTTTGAAAGTTTTGCTAATGTGTTCCAGCCTAACGCCGGAAGACACTGACGACGCCCCTGTGGTGCCGCCCTTGCCTTTCTTTGAGGTTGCCTTCTCACTATCATCCTCCTCGAGAAAATTGAAAGGCAAAGAAGAAGACTCTACCTCCTGGGCTATTTCTTTCACAGACGTGGACACTGCCGATACCTTCCAGTGTGACCCCCGACGTCTCAAGCTACTCTCCCAGCAATCAATCGCTCGCAGCCAGGCTCTCTACAAAAACCAGAGCGATGTTAGACGAAGAATCCCCACATTTTCTCTCGGGAGCTCGAATTTCATACCTCTCGCCTCCGCCGATTGCTACCGCCACGCCATTCCAAGGCGCTCCTGCCGCGCCTCCAAACCCTATCCAATGCGCTCGCGCTGGTGGAGCTTACGCTCATCAATCGCGAGAAATCCGTGCTGGCGGACGCACCGCCGAGCACCATGGTCGCTCTTCCGAGCTCCATGGCCATGTAAAATAAAAACGATGAACTGAAATAAACTAAGGCCACACTGCCACGTGGCGCATCCTCGGCCGCACGATGTGCTGCAAAATATCACAAGGGATGAGGATGGTATCCACAACAAGAGCCGTCCGATACTCTTATCAATCTAGCTCTCTTCCGTCAGACAAAAACATGCTATGTTACAAGAGATTTCCTGTGTCTCTATACTCGCGACTATATCATAAATCCAAAGTTCCTCTTCTTTCTACTTCCTCCCTCGCCATATTGCTCGTTCCAATGCCTGAGCTCGTTCATACTCAATGCATCAAACGCTACAGAGGCACACACCTGAGAAAAAGCGTGAAACTTCAGTCCAGATCGTGAAGAGTCTTACGTACCTGTGTCATCGATTGCCGGAAATCATCTAGAGTTATCGGTCGCAACATCGATTGTACTGTTTCTCCATTGATACAAATGCCTTGCTGCTTCAGCTGCTCAAAGTAGCTCAAAGTAAGACAAGTCAGCCTTGGAGAAGTGTTAAATGCTAATTACCTCGCTCTCTTTTCCCAAAAACTCGCGGATGGGCCTATAGGCTGCTGCGATCGACAAGTTCTGCGACAAAGAAGTGTCATTTACCAGTGGCGATCTCGAGTTTTTACCTTGAGGTCGCTTCCAGAGTAACCTTCCGTCATCTTTGCCAGCTCTATCATGTCAAAATTCGCTTCCAGGTTCTCTTTCGATAAAATAGCTCCAAGTATCTTCACTCGGCTTGATGCTTGTGGAAGGTCGATTAAAATCCTGTGGCAAGATACTTAGATCGTCATCAGAAAATGTATACGACATTGCTCACCTCCGTGGTAAACGTCGTATGACTGCATCATCAAGGTCGAACGGGCGATTTGTTGCCGCCAAAACGATGATGCGCTCATCGTCTTTGGTCCGAAGACCGTCCCAAGCAGCCATAAACTCGTTCTTCACACGCCGGGTGACCTCATGTTCTGAGCTTCCACCTCTTGCACCCAGAAGGCTATCGACCTCATCCACGAAGACAACCGTCGGTGACAATTTTTTCGCAAGGGAGAAAAGTGCCTTCGTTAGTTTCTCGGCGTCCCCAAACCACTGTAAAACAGCAAAATTGGTTTCCTAAGGAAATTTGGAGAAATGTTGCATACCTTCGAAGAGATGGTCGAGCTCGTAATACTTATGAAATTGGCTCCCGCTTCCGTGGCAACAGCCTTGGCAAGGAGTGTTTTGCCGGTTCCAGGTGGTCCAAACAAGAGCACTCCCCTGCATGGCTGAAAGTAGAAAATTCTTAGGCCTAACATTTTTGTAGCATAACTTGATTACCTTTGTCAAATTTCCTCTTTTGAAGAGTTCTGGCCTTTGCAATGGAAGAATGACAAGCTCTTGAAGCGCTTTCTTGACATCTTCAAGTGCACCAACATCAGTGAACAAAACGCCAATTTCACCGCTTGGAATGACAGACGAGATAAGCGCCTTCTCGTACTCGTCTTCCGCTACAGTCTGTACGTAAAATACAATTAAAACATAACAAAATTGCACGAAATCTCGACGCATACAGTTAGATTTAGTCCCTTAGTAGGTGTTGCGGGTACTTTTCTCCCGTCTTGAGCCTTTAGCATCGCAAGAGCTCTTTCAAGGCTGTAAACGCCAGAGTTATATACCATCAAAAGAGTACCAATTTACCTCTGCAAGGGGATAGAAAGCTTCCCGTTATCTATGGATGGAGATGCGCTGCAAGAACTGAGGTAGTGGTTGAGAGCCCATCCGACAGCTTTCTCAATTCCTAATAAGTACCAGTGAGCTATGAAAAAATAAAAAAATAAAAATAAAAATAAAAATCGCGTTACTTACGGGCAAGTGGCAGATAAAGTTCTAAGGTGTTCAAAATTGGTAAACTTTGACACTCCAAGTTGTGGAGTTCGAGTACCTGAAATTGTAATAGAATTCGGTAAGAAAGAATAAAAAAACAAACAATACCTTCTGGATTCTCTGAATACTTTTTCTAGATGCGTATATCGTCTTATCGTGCTCAAGTCGCTGCTTCCATTCCTCAAAGCTCTTTTCGTCCTATACCGTCATAGATAAGCACTGCAGTCTAATACCAAAACCTTACTTGAGGTGGATATATGTTGACTGTGTTTACAAATAGATGATATATGTCTTCCAAATTAACGGTATGGTTTCGCCACTTAGAACAAGACTTCGCCTGCATAGAGAAATCAGACAAAATGGCTACTGGCAAAATGGCTACTATTTACCAGTTTTGATCTTCTCTCAAACTCAGGATCATCATTTGATCTTGACGCAATAAGAACAACGGCGCCGGAAATCTTATCCAGCCGCTCTTCAACTTGCTCGAGAAATACTCGTCTTTGAGCCAATGGCACAGCCCTCTCAAACCAGATTTCAGGATCGGGAATGTAGACCACTAAAGGCTTGTAACTCTCTGACACCTGATATTTCTCAATTGAGCGAAACTGTTATTAAAAGATTTATAAAATACCTCTGCCAGTGCTTCAAGGGCCGCAACCCACTCATCTGCTGCGCAAGCTACCGGACCATCATCAAGCTCTAGTTCCGTTACTGTCAGCATTCCATATCAGAGAGCAATAACAAAAAGCCAGCGTAACTTACAGTGACACCAATTTACAAAACTTGTAGCTGATTCATCAGAACTTCTGCCAAAATGTTCTGCTCTCTTTTCAGAGCTAATGAATCGTACCCCAACATTGTTTGAAAGGCCCTTCGGTGTAGAAATAACCCAGCCTCTTTGGCCCTTCTTCAAAGACTGTCTGACAAAAACATGAGAAACATCACATGATTCTCGTCAGCTGACAAACAGAAACTTTCAGGACATCTATTAACCTTTTCTTAGCCCCTCTCGACTCTGTACTTCCAACAAATCTCACACGATCTCCTGCAGGAATTAAAATAAAAAAGCTGAGAAATTAACCACCAGGCATGAATACCTTTCTTCAACTTTATCTGAGGCGCTGAACCAGATTCTTCTTGCTGATCTGTAGACCCCACGGAACCCTTTTGAATCTAGGGATAACGTAAGACGATAAAAGAACATAAGACTTTAAAGCTACCTCGTGCTTGTGCTTGTAGCTTGCTTCTGCAACCTCAAGCAGCGCACAAATGCGATATGGCTCTTCGCTATCGCTTCCGTCATTGTCGTCTTCTTCATCACTTGCATCTTGATCAGACTCATTGTCTGTCCATCTCGACTCACGTCCCCGGCTTTCGTGGTCTAGCTCGGATTCTCCAGACACGTCCTGATCGCCATAATCCTAGATAAAAGAGGTGGTGAAGTCCATGGAGAAAGAAAAGAGAACTTACATGAGGAGAGAGAATAGTGCTGTCTAAAGTAAGAAAAGAAGCGTCGAGTTTGTGTGCAAGTGACTTGACTAGCTGCTCTTGGTAAATCTGAGAGCCTGGAAAGATCACAATTTAGACGCTGCTAGCACCTGAAAATACATACATACCCGAAGGTCCATGCAAAAGGATCCTCTGGCTTGAAGACGGCAGTCCTTGGCTATATTCCATAAACTCTGGTTGACGGAGATGAGCCATAGAACAATCAAGGAGTAACTCCCGCGTGTTTGTGCTACAAATGGAGAAAAATTGTTACGCAAGCATGAAACCAAAGCAAAGAATCACTTACTCGAGGTAGTAAGAAAAACCGTCTAGCGACACCTCAAGATCTTTACTCTTGACTTCCAGATTCTCGTTCTTGACAATCCTGCTCTCGAACTCCTTGCGAAACCTGGCCTTCATAGCTTGGAAGGCCGCCTCTTCCTCCTCTTTGCTCTTCTTCTCTTTTTCTTTCTTCTTGACATCTTCCTTCGCCGCCGCCGCCTCGCTCTTACCCGGTTGATCCCTCGAAGAGCCTGCTTCCTCTACAGCCTCGTCTTCCGACGAAGACGACTCGGATGCTTGGGCGGAATCCTCATCGCCCTCTAGCTCCCCGGAGCTCGCAAAACACCGCACACCACACTGCTGAAATGCAGTACCTGGATTCGCTCCAAATCGCTGGCTCTTCCCGCCCAGAGCCCCCCAGCGCCTCTGCGGCCACGACGACACCACTTGGAGCGGTGAAAGCGCCCTAACCCTACGTCTAGCTGCTGAATCCCGTGCAGCCAAATCCTCAGCCACTGCCACCGTCGCTGCATTCTTGCGATCCGATCGAAATCGCCCCAGCCGCGATCGAGCTCGACGAATACCCCCAGCTATGCCACTGGCTCCCCTCCCCATCGGCGAGCCCTAAATTTTCCAAGTCCCAAACCAAGGAACTATGAATTGCTATAAACAAAGAGACAATATATATTTGACAAGTTTACATAGAAATGGAAGGAAGCTTGCGAGCAAGAAAAAATAAAGCGAAAGAAGAGAGAAAGGAGAGAGGCCACTACAAGAATCAAAGGTGATGAGCTTGAGGCATGGCTTCATCCGGGAAGAGCTCGGCAGTTCTCGGGGTAGAATCGCCACTGGGCTGGCGTTTGATCCCCCCAACTTGCTCCTCCTTCTCGACCTTCTCCTTGGTTTTCTGCGACACATCGTTGGCTGCCTTGGCCACCTTGTTGAATGCTCCGGTCACCCAGCTCGCCCCGGTGAAGATATACTTGTTCTTCATCAAGGCCGACCCGGCGCTCGACATCTTTTGCTCGGCCGTGGTGAAGGCCGTCTTCGTCTTCTCCGAGACCTGGAACTTTTGATCCACTGCTCGGACACCTTGATTCACCGCCGCTGTCCCGGCGTTGATCTTCTCTCGGAAGCCAATCTTCTTGTCGATGTCGGCCATCGTCGCGGTTGCGCTTGCCGTGAAGCGGTGCTTGTCGTCGAAAGCTTTGGCCTTTCCCATGGCGTCCTTGCCGAGAACGAAGCCTTTGGCGAGCATGGTGGTGATCACGGCCTGGGCTTTGTTCTCGGGAACGGATGATCCAGCCTGAGTTGGAAAAATGTGAGAGAATGGAAGAAAAGTTGCTAAAAGCTGGGAGAAATACCACTTGGTTCGATGGCGTCCAGTCTTCCACGGGAGCGATTAGCACAGATTGATCGACGATTGTAGCGCCCTGTGGAACAAAAAAAATGAAAACAAAGGAATCGGAGCCGAGAATCGAGACTTACAGACAACAAGAGTGCAGTGTCCACAGCGTCAGGGTCTTTGAATGTTACATGGGCGACCTGGGAGGCTTCTCCATCCCTGCGAAAAAAGAAAATTTCCCACAAAAGTTCGAGAAGAGAAAGAAATGTTGCCTCTCAAGCTCGACGTTTTGGATCTCTCCGGAGAAGGAGAAGAAGTTGAGGATGTCCTGCTGGGTGGCTCTGATCGAGAGATTTGTGACACGGACGGTGTTATTCTGCAAGGCGAATTTCCCATATAGCACGACAATGCTCTCTAGCTGCAAGATTTCTGGTTACCGCCATTGCGCGCGCCAGATCCAGCTCCACGAACCAACGCCGAATGGAAGGAAGAACTCCTAAACCCTAGATACCCTTTTAGGGCTCTTGTGGCATATTTTTTCAAACGTGCATAGCTACGTGGCTTCTCGTTTGTTTGCTTTCTTCCACGTATTGACATTGTCACAGACTTCTCCTCTCTTCTCGAGACAAGTAAAATTCCTTGGTCTTGGCTATGAGCTTCACTCAGTTGAAAAAAACAATTTTTTGCTTGCAATTGGAGTGTCTCTTTCTCTTCCAAAAGGCATCGTTTGGTACTGCAAAATAAAAGATTATAAGGATTAGAGACAAAGCTTTAAGTTGAGTACCTTCTCAACGTTATGAAGTCGATGGAAGACTAGTCTGCCTTTTTCGATGATCCATCTCCAGCGGATGCCATGTCTCCCTCGAATGCCTTTGAAACTTTGGCGACGCTTCCATTGTCAGTGATCAGGACTGGAGTAGCACGTTTGATCCCTCGTCCCACAACTCCCAGATTTATTACCGCGTCCTTGGAAGTGGAGGGAGTTGTCATTGTTGTTGTTGTCGTCTCCATCGGCGCCTTGCTTCCATTGCTCGCCATGTCAGCCACGGCCATGAATGTCTGCTTCACAGTCTCCGCCACTACAGGGTTCTCCGCTTCCAAGACTTCCAAGAGTGGAGGAGCGGCAGCCATTTGATGCAGCTCGTCCACCTGTGTCACAGACAAAATCAAGGATGAGAAAACAAGCAATGCTCGTACCACGATACCTTTTCTTTTAGATCGACAAGCAGCGATTCCATTTCTTTGATCTCCTCATCTCGACAAGTGACCTCTCCTTTGAGCCTTTCTAAGCGGTTCTCGCAAACAGCCACAGCCAGGTGACAGCACTCGATCGCTTCTTTGGGCGCTTTCGAGAGCTGCTTCGCTAGAGCCATCTTAAAATATCTGTCAAGAGAGGGTCAAGGTTAACACCAAAGTCTCATCAGTAGCATACAGCTCTGCCAGTTGACGATTATCGGGCTCCACGAGTCCCTTGAGAATTTCCAGTGCTTTGCTGTAGTCATCCAAACAAGTTTGAAAATCCTCTGAAAGGAACAATGCAAAGGTTTAGTTCCCACAGCTAACAGCATCTGGTCACCAACCTTTCTCGAGACTTATGTCAGCCAGGCCAGAGATTACATCCACCTCCTCCAAAGTGTGCGTGTGTTGCCTTTCGTGGATCACCCGTGCAATGTCCATCATCTTCCAGGCTAGCTCCAAATCAGACTCCTCTTCTTCCTGGATATCTTCACCGTCTTCTCCTTCGACTTTCTCCTCTGCTTCATTGCTCTCTGCAGAACATTTCCTAAGTTATATCACAGCGCTTAAAAAGAATAAAAGAGAAACTAACCTTCTTCCGCTTCTGCTGGCTCAGAAATCGTTACTCCTTTCTCCTTAGCCGGAGTAGCCTCGGAGAAAATATCCCTCTCCGCTTGAACCTTGTAGAGAAGACACGACCCATACTTGTAGTAAGCCGATGCACACTCTGGAGCAAGCTCGCCGTGAAGCATCACCCTGAAAAGAAATAGAAACCACAAAAAGAAAAGCACTACAAGCATTCTCTCTCCACAAGAGTACCTCATTTCTAGCGCCTTGCAGAGATCATTTGATGCGCTCTCTAAATCTCCAGCCTTGAGAGCATTGCATCCCGACTCAAACAGCTTCGCGGCATTCTCCACTGTGGCTTCTTGTTCCTCTTCCTCCCCGTTCTCTGCATTCTCTTCCTTTCCTTCGTCTTCCTCAGGCGCAGGAGCAGCGGCATTTACCTCGTCCATAGCTGCGCCGCCATCGCTGAGAGGCACCTCCGCCTCCTCCCCGCCAGTCGCAGCCTCGGGCACCATCGCTCCAAACCCTAGCCAGCAGCTCTACTGATTCCGAAGAAGAGGGAAAGCCCGCTTTGTTGCCAAATAAAAGGTCGCCACTTGGCAAGCTAGTTTTTACATACTTGTACATACAACACACTGTACCGTACAGTAGAGCTCTCAAAGGACCCTTAGCTCGGCCAGGAAGGAGCCACAAAAATCGAGAAAGATAAAAAACGGGCCTTCAAGCTTCTGGAGGTCGAGAAGGTACTTCTCCTCTCTCACCTTATACAACTGCATTGTCAAACAAACGAAGAAAAATTCCCGTGAAAACTTTGATCATGTTTTCTGGATGAGTACCTGGAGCTCGAATTTGACAAGACTGCTGCCAATCTTGTGCTGCTGCTGCTGCTGCTCCACGAGTTTTTCTAAGCCATTGTCGTGGATTGGAGAGCCTGGCACCATCGGAGAGCCGACGGCTTCTCTGGAACAGGGCGCGGGAGAGTTCCAGCGACACTTAACGTTGTAATTCCCGTTCTTCTTCCACAAAACCTCCATATCTTGCAGCACCTTGAGCACCTCGTTCATTATGTCCCGTGGAGAAGCTCGGGACTTGAGGTTTAAGAAAAACAAAATCAGAAAACACAAACAACAAGAATGATAAAACTTACCTGTAGTCCCAAAGCCCATCTTCTCTCGGCAGTAAATCTAGATATGTCGTTTGAAGGCGACGGACCACGCTGGCTTTGAATATGCATAAACGGCGATTGCAGTTGTTTCGCTGATACTGGTCCGGTTTGAGGGGAAGCCATTTCCTACAGCAATTCTCGCAATTATCTCGGTTTTTCTTTTTTCAAAAAAATGAATTCCTACCTTTACCTCCTGAAATTCATCAATCAAATAACCATGGGACATCCGCCGCCTATTATCCAGCATAAGGTAGTAAGTTACAGTTGCCTGGATAACCAGAAATAAATGTTATATTTATTGATTCTGCGAAAAAGAAAACTACTTACCGTGTTTGCCACTCTAGTTCGTAGAGAGTCCACAAGGAGATTTCTGTCGAAACCAAGCTTGGTCACTTCTCTCAAAATATCCTCATCAATCTAAAAGTCAGAGTCAGGATAAACATATCAAAAAGAACGAGAGAAATCTTACTCGTTTGGCTTGTTCAACCGTATCAAGTGGAGGCACCGCAAGGTATCGGGGAAGATGAGCTTGGAACCAGGGATGTTGCCGAATCTCGGGAATAGTCATCCGTTTCATTGGCTCAACGAGCAGCATCCGTGGTATCAAATCCTTAGCACCGGGCGAGAGATGGCTGGGAAGTGTGTACAAACCCGTCTGCGAGCGCCATTGTTGAGAGAAAGGCATTGGCAGAAGCATCCAAAACCATTACCTTGATCTTCTTGAAAAGGTTTGGGATGTTCTCGTCGTCAAAAGGTAAACTTCCACACAGAAGTGCGTACAATATGACACCACAGCTCCATACATCCACTTCTGGTCCTGCATAAAGCTTTCCCGAGATCACCTGAAAGGAAAAGGCTTTCTAGAGGAAAAAAGAATGTCGAAGCTTACCTCTGGAGCGGCATAGTTTGGACTTCCACAGCTCGTTTTCAGAAAGTGTCCATCTCGCATGATATTACTTAAGCCAAAGTCCGCAATCTTCACATTGCACCTAGAGTCAAGCAACAGATTTTCTGGCTTCAGATCACGATGACCACCATATTTCTGTGACAATATTCCACTCCAGAAATGATCTGGTGATGTGTGCGAGTTATATTCAGTTTTCTTCACCAGGCGAAGGAGCACGAACCTGCTGGAAGAAACGCCGGGCTTCGTCCTCCTGGAGGCGCCCCTTCTCGACAATATAATCGAACAGCTCCCCCGACTTGACATACTCCATCACCACGAAAATATCATTGGCGGTCTCCACGACCTCGTAGAGCCTTATGATGTGAGGATGCATGAATAATCTCAAGATCTTGATCTCTCTTCTAACTTTGAGGAAGAAAGAGTAGCAAGAATCAGAAAGTAGCGCACGGAAATGGAAAATGTAGTATGATACCTTTCTCTTCCATGTCCATGGCCTTGATTTTCCTGCGATTGAGTATCTTGATGGCAACCTTGTGCCCAGTGGGGATGTGCTCGGCTACCTTGACCTTACCAAACGATCCGATTCCAAGAGTCTTGCCCATCTTGTAGTTGAGGAAATCGTTGGCCTTCCCGTCCATCGCGAAACCGCGTGTGCTCCAGTGGAACCCTAGAGGATAAGCTTCAAGTTTAGTGATAAGTTCCGTAAATACACGTCAGCATATATTGAAATGTTCAACAAGCATGCTAGAAACTATAACATCTCTTTGTTCAAGAAACCTAGCAGCGCCGTCTTGATACCAGCATCCACCTTGTCAAACTCCTTGTGCAAGAAAACTGAGACACAATCTTACGCCTCCTTATCAAACCAGCCTGCCTTCGTTTGTAGATTTGCCATCTCTCTCGAAGAAACCGATGTATCATTTTGGACGCCTCCATTGAGCACCCGCTCACAAATTAAAAAATAAACATCAGACATCAGTCATCGAATGGAAGTTCCTTTTTCATTTTGCTCTCTTACAGACAACAAGGATGTAAGAACGTCAAAGCAAAAGATGAGAAACCAAAGGATCCAACCAAAGAAGCAGAAAAGGTGCCCCAAGATTTACAATGAAAGCGTAACTACAAGGTTTTAGTACATGCTTCTTTTTCAAAGAATTTCTTTTCTATAAAATAGAATAATATAATTTATAAATAAAAAATTATTCACAAAGCCTTTATCTTAGATTTATTATTAAATATACTATTATAAACATATCCATACATACTTTAAAAATTAATATTAAATATTTAAATGAAAATAATAGTGATTAGATTTAATTATTATTTTTAATAAAAAGAAGTCTACTTTATGCATAATCCAGAATATTTACTATAAAATATAAGAAACTCCTCTTATCTAGTATATTATATTTCTATAAGTTTCTTACCATATGTTTTTTAAATTCTTTTTATTAATTATATTTACTAGTTTATGCTATGCTCAACCACCTCAAACAAGATGGATTGGACGGCTTGGTCATTTTAGTAATCGAAATATTGGGAATATTATAGCTCGAATAAGACGTTTAATAGATAGTATTGACATTAATCAACCAATAATTTTTAACAATAATGGGTTTTATCTTTTTGAAGTTATTAGTATTGGTTA